TTGGAAGTAACGAACTGCATGCATTGCTAAACTCTGCATGAACTGGATAATGAGTTTCCTTCACTTGCCCTCAGTCACCAAGGCATAGTAGGCTTTCCATGACCTCACACTAATCTTGCTGCTGCCCCAAGTGATTCTGAATTACAGCCATCTCGATGTAACGACAGCATGGGCAGTAACATAGAAGAGATAAATCAGGGTACTCAAGCTAATTTAGTGAGGGCTTTCAGTTGTAGCAGTGGGGTAATTTCCAAACCAAAATAGAGGATAAAGAGTTTTGTTCCCATTCTTCCCTTAAAAATAGAAGTAAGATAACGAAAATGATTATAAACTTGTCTAACTAAAACCTTAACTTTCTTTCCATATCATACCAGTATCTTGACATCAAGGTTTTTTTTTTTCTTTTTTTTTTTTTAAGATTAATCATATGGGCAATGACCTATATGCACAAAAAATATGCAATGAGTACTTACATTTATGTTTTCTTCAAAAGACTGAAAATGAATATATGTATTTTCCAAATTATATTTCCATTGAAATCCTACTTCTCCTAAATGTAATAAATCAAAACTGCAACCTAAGTATGGCTGTGATACCAATGCACTTAACTCTCAGCTGTCTCTTTCTTTTTCCAGTTATTAGGGAGCTTATTTGAAAGTATTTCTGTTAATATAGGTTAGGATCACTGGAAAAAACTCAAAGCTGGAATATATGCAAAACCTCAAGAAAAATGGCAAGAAGGGAAAAAAAGAGACCACCATGTTTATTTACACTGCAATTGTGACTACACTTTTTTGTTTGTTTTTGACAAATATAAAGATGAAAACCTTTCAGTGTTTTTTCCCACATCAGTGGTTTGATATTTCTCATGCTACAGTTTCCAAAAGGCTACGTTTGGAGATACTAAGTATTCCATTACAGAAGTTCAGGTTTTTTGTATGTATTTTACAAGTGTTTGGTATTATAGTCAATTATCACTACACCTTTCAAATTGTCTCATTTTTGAAGAGGGACCTTTTATAAGGTATCACTCATCATTTTAAAAACATGACAGTGCCATGAATATATTTTCCATAGTGCACTAAAAGGTGAGATGATATTTTAAAGTCAAGCTTATTTGAAGTCAAACTTAGGCACATAGTACACATTGATCTCTCAAGGGTTCAAACATTCATGCTGTCTCTGACTTCAGAACATTTATTGTTACATTAGAATAACAGCAGATAGCTGATACAGAAAGTCCTATGCAATAGTTATAAAAATTACTACTTAAAAAAACAATGATGCCTTACATTCTGCTCAGACAATGAGCACACGAGCTGTGGAAGAATGTCTCCCTTCACAACTGCCTCTGCCAGGTCATCATTGTAATTGGCAAGTCTCCCAAGAGCCAAAGCAGCAGTCTGTTGAACAGTTGGGACAACATCCAGCAAAAGAGGTCTCAGCAAAGACATTACACCTGAGTTACACCAGGAAGAGAAAATCCCATTTGTTAAGCAGAAACGTTTCTAAACATTTGTCTTTATGCATAAAAACCTATTAAATCACTCTTCCAGGTAATAAAAACTTGTAGGAAATCCAGGTGGCCCACTGAAATGAAGTTAGCGCTTCGATAGCACTGTTGATGTATGGCAATGTTTCTGCCCATTTTTCATAGGTACAAAACACTTCTGAAATACAAAAAAAAGTCACATGTAGAAATAACCTACATTCAAACATCTATAAAATACATGTCTTCAAGTATACACAAGAAAATAAGGTATATTCAAGCATATATAAAATGCATGTGTTAAAGTATGCACAGGAAACTCCACTTGGAGGTCCTGGTGAGCTGACATTGGCATGTCACTCATTCAGCATGCCAGCAGAACCTCTACATCAAACTACACCAAATTACATTTCATCTATTATAAGCAATGATTGATTTGGGGACCAATATCCATAATTTATTATACTGCAGATACAAAAGTTGAATATTTTCTCATCATATTATTATTTATGATGTGTTTTCACTGATGAGTCCACAGTGTCTCAGTTAAACGTGAAAGAATATGAAAGTCCATTCTCTGAGGTGGTCTTGCAATACATACTTGAAATTATAGGTGAGGTAAGCAGCTATGACATGAACTATTAGCAGTTATGGCCTAAAAAAGTCTTTACACAGATAAACATCTGGCTAAAAATAGGAAGTGGGAGGAGTAAACTTTCCATTCTTGCAATAGGAGGGACGAGGTCACAATGCAATTCTGCAGGCCTCCATGGTGGGACATGTACCATTCAGCATTCATCTATGATCTGGAACAGCAGGAACAGTGAGGTGAGACTTTGCTGGTGACTCAAAGTTATTCCAGGTAGTCCCAGTGAGGGAAAGTATAAGGAACTAGAGACTGAATGACTAGATAACAAAATGGCAAGTGAAATGGAGCACATATGGGGAAGTCAATCCCAACCTCACATATGCAGTGATGGGCCCCAAACAGATCACTACTACGCAGGAGAAAGATCTCCATGTTAGAACAGACAGTTCCATGGAGATTCCAGCTCACTGCTCAGTAGCAGAGAAGAAACGTTACCCACAGAAGTACACAAGAGTGCTCAGGATTATCTGGAAAGGAACAGAGGCCAAAGCAGAGACTATCACTATGCTGTTGTATAAAACTATCCTACACTCAATACCCTCCCCTAGAGCAGAACTGAAAAAAGTTCAGTGAAAGGCAACAAGGACAATCAAAGATGACCACTCTGTATGTGTAAGCTCTTCTACAGTTAAACTAAGACTCTTCAAGAGGGATATAAATGAGATCCACACAGTTACATAAACAATACAATTTGTAAGATCTGGGAAGGGAAAATTACTTGTATCGTGATTCTTCAAAAGTGCTGTCCCTGTACCAGCCAGTTGCATGAATTAATACTTCTGAGCTTTATACCTCAGTAGGAAAGCAATGCTCTCTGAACATGCAGAAGTGCTACAACAAAACACCAAACACTCAGAGTTACAGTCAGAAGTCTCCGTACCAGCCGTTTCAGTTCTTTCCATTACATTTTTTTTTTGCTAACAAAGATAAAGATTTGGCTGGGTGACCGTGGAAGAAAGCAAGACTTCCCTTCTTGAGGGCTCATGCGGTTATAAGCACTGAACAAAGATCTTTTGGCACAACAGTCCCACAACAGTGGGGTCACTGCCTAATGGCAGATGATACCCAGGTGCTGAACAGGCACACCATGACAAGGAAAAGCTGAGGGCCTTAGAGCAAGGAACAGTCCAAATGGATGGAGGCTATAACAAGTTACACCCATAGTCTACTTCTATATAGAAGAGTACTCTGAAAAGAAAAAAAAAAGAAAAAAAAAGTTGAGCAGCAGTGTAATTCTCACAGAGAACATTTATTTTAAATCAAAACCAAATTGCTCCCAGTAAGAAAATAGCCTAATAATCTCTATGTGGCTCTGAAAGACTGGGGGCAGCAGGGTTGTAAAACTAACCATGGAGGCCATGCTGACCACTAATGAATTTGCTCTGGGAAGGTCAATACTCCAGACAGAAGCTGGACTGCCACAAGAGGTACGGCCTCCCAGGATGTTCACAAGTCAAAATAACACAGGTCTTAGTGGGGCACGCAGTAAAAGAAGAAAAGTGACATGAAATTGTGATGTCTAATAGCACTACAAATGCACCAAAAATAGCTCTGTAACATGCGTTAATTGAACATATACATGTAGAACACAAGGAAACAGGTCTGTAGTATAGCTGGGGCCTGCTCACACTTCTGTCAAAGCCACTGGAAGCTGAAAGAGCCCTCCTGTGTACCAACAGACAAAAACTAGATCCTCCAGTATTGTAAGATCAACGTGAATTCATTTAGCATTTTGCAGAAATCACTACTTCAGACTGTTGTCATCATATTGACATCTTCTCACAAACTCTCCCAAGTAGCAGGTATGGTCTCATTAGCAAGTTGTGCTTCATATTAAAATGCACTAAGTACCCTGAAAAATTAAAAGTAAAAACAAATAAATATGAGTTGAGGCCAACCCCGTATATCATCTATAGCGAGCTATCTCCTAGCAAGTCACCTGCACCCCCTATGGGAGGGCATTTTCTTGTCCTTCCCTCTAATATCAATTGCATGCTTGAACAGCTGCTGAAATTCCTAAGGGGACCTCATGCTGTTCTGACTCTATTTACACTGAAGATATTTCAGTAAAGGAGGAACAGTTAGGAGTAGTACACATGTATTTAGTGTACAGATAATACATTTGAGCCCTTAACTTGAGATAATATGAAAACAAGATTATTTAATAAATAACAAAGGGGGGGGAGTAGTTTCACTAATATAAAAGGGGCTGTTAGAAGTGGTTGGAGGCGAGGAAAAGTAACACTTCAGTGTGCAGTGTCCTGACCCTAAAAAAACCAAGAGCCTGATGAGTAGGACATTCAACCAGGATGTGGCAGACAGTTCAATTCTGGTGATGGTCTCAAAACCCAATGACATTTAAATAGACTAGAATCCCTTTACCCAGGAGAAACCCATAAGCTAGATCCAGACCACGTGACATGTTTCTGGCCTGCATGACACACCTAGACACCATGAAAACTAAAAGCACATTTAAGAAAGTTTACATATACATATACTTTGATTTGTCCCAAATATGAGATTTATATAATTTGTATTTTCAAGATTAGCTGATACAGATTTCACTTTTAGAATAGGCTAACAGGCCTTGAGCCTGAAAATGCTTCCAAGCAGCATGCCTCCCCTTGACCAATACCATTCATTTCATGGTAGTCATCACCAAGCTTTACATGGCTTATACATTTAAGTGTCAGCACAAAACGTTCCACTGCAAATTATTTCAGCTGATGAAACTGAAGGTGAGGAAAGAGGCGAGAAGTGAAATGGGAGTTACTGTTTGAAGAAAGGATACAAGATGCTAAAACAGGATTGAAAAAAACAGTGAATGGATGGAAAAGATTTAGAAATAATAGAAACTGGGCTAATCCTCAAGGAGACTATATTTTCGCAAAGTGATGTTTGAATGTGAGAAAAGACAGTGAACAAATAATTATCATGACAAGAGCTTTGGAGGAACAAGAAAAAGAAAAATCAATTCCTGTTGCTGTACAAGCCTTATATCGACATCAAATTAACTGAGAATTGAGAGAAGTGTATCAGCCTAGATTATGCCTGTGCATTCAACATAATTAAAAGCTTCTATCTCTACTTCCCACCTTCTCTAAAACTAGTTTCTTTCTCTGCATCAAGATGCTATCCATCATCTCTGAATACTCTGCAAGACCAGCTGCTTCAGGAGTTTTCATCATTGTCATCATTTTTACATCTTCAGCAAACAGAGTATTTCTTTCTTTACAGCACTTAGAAAAAAAATAAACAATTAGTTCTGAGTGTGAAAACAGCCACATAGAGATTATATGGCCTCCACCAAAACACCTATAGGAAAACCAAGATGCCCACCTTTCCTTCTATGACTTTTGAAGATAGTGCTGGAAAGGATAGATGTCCCTGACACCGGAGGAGGCTTTCCTGTCCTAGGCCCAACCCAGCTCTTCCTTCCAGAGACAGCCCTATTTGGTGAGCTCCCTTATTTGATCTCTTCTTTTCTTTTGACTGTCCTGTCTACAGCAAAGTCTACCCCTCTTCTCCAAAGAGGTCCAAGCCAGGATTCCTATCAGCATTTTGAATTAAATTCCAAATTATTTAACATTATCTTACAGTAGGAAAATAGGTAAGAACCTTCCAACAACTTCCTTTTACCTCTACCATTCACTCAAGTGAACAGGGACATACAGAGCATGGAGTAGCAGTGTCTTGCTGCCGAAAACTTTAGGAGAACCCTTTGGTCTTCTTCTAAATAAGTCTGTTGTGACAGATGTAGGAAATTCATTAACTCGAATTCAAAGGCAGCAACACAGAAAGTAAACTACAAAATAAGGCATTTAGACCATTGGACTAGATTTGTTTTGGAAGAGTTCCCACTAGCAACTCAGAAACAGGGTAACAAAGAATTGTTGCCAAATATTCTCTTTTGCATCATGGAACCTTGACGGACCTTGGGCAAGAAAAGATTCCCCTTTCTAGCCTCAGTTTCCCACTCAGATTTGTTTCAAAGAATGACACACTTTAGAAGCTGAATCACCCGTAACACACGCTTCTCAAGTGGAGCTGTTGTGCACAGGCCTGATGCACTTTCTTTTAGCAAGCAAGTGCTTGCTGCTGCCTATCTGGAAAAAAAAAAACAAAACACTTAAGGGCAGGAGTGGGCTCCAAGTTTTTGTAGCCAAACAGCCGCTATTCTGGAGATGGCAGTCTTTTGATTTCTTGGGGAAAACCACCTGGAAGTCATGCAGAATCCCTCTACTCTCCTCCCAGCCCAGCCAAAACCCTTGTCAAACTTGAATAGTCACAAGTTAGAGAAACATCACTCTATATTTGAAATTCTCTCCATTTCAGCACCTGAAGATGACTGCTCCTACCCTATTCTCCTTCCTTAAAAACAAAACTTATTTCCATTTTATAATGTAAATGTGGAAAAAAGTCATTCTATGCTAGTGTTGTCTCTGAACACACTCTTATCTTGAAGATGCTGTGCTTCTAATTTATGCTTTGGGTCAAACATAATGCTGTCTTCTCATTTTTGTGTGCTGTTACACTAAGAACATTCACTGACCTAACATTAGCACTCAAACATTCGACATATCACCTTGATTTTTCAGGGCTCCTGATGTCAAATTCAGCTGATTTAACAAGGAAATAAAATGCAAATTTATTTCTGCCTCACCCCAACTCCCTATCTTCAACTACCCTTTCCTAGAAGCAGCATAGCAGCGAGTTTTAAATAGGAGACTTAAAACAAATTTCCCAGAAGAATGACAGAGAGAACTTTCACACTCACTCATCTTGACACAGCCTCTTCCAGGGATGATGTGGTATGCACGTCTCAAGTACATACCCCTCAAAGTGTGACTCACCCTGAGAAAGGACTCCTCACTCCAACAGTTCCATGCACAACACAACCACAATCCTTCAAATATCAAAGGGAACATAAATACAGTTTGGTAACAGAGACTCTGGGTAATCAAGCAATTCATACAGCAATTACCAGATGGCATGGGACATAATGCAGGTTCAGTTTGACAGCGGGACTGGAAATTTCTGAAGGATCAAGGAGCAGTAAGTTTCTCCTCCTTAAAAGCTCATCTGACCGATCATTTCCCAGACCCTGTTCCTGCATTAATGGAGCAGAACCAATCCTGTTCCAAGAGGACTGAGTTTCTGAAAATGTTCCTCATGGGGCTAGTTAGCAGCCACCACACAATCCTTCACAGACACATCAAAACCGAGGTGGTCACAAGGAGCTGCTTCTTTTTAATGGCCACTTGTTAAGATGAGACTGAAGTTCGTAACAAATTGAAATTCTACTTGCAAATCTCCTCCAAACGGGCCAGGAGGCTGAGAAAAGGAGGAATCCTGGAGCAGATGAGCTTTCAGTTGATTAAGTTACAGAAAAAGCCAGTCCTCCAGCTTCAGCTACATTTACTTTCTCCTCTGTCATCGCACTGGTACTTTCCTTAATATACAGCCTCCTTCTTCCCTTCATCAGGCACCAACAGGTCATCAAGCCTTGGGGAAAGCCGCTCTCCTCACTTGATCTACTACAACTCCAAAGACAACCTTTTGCTTTTCATGTCACATAGCATACTTCTCTCCCACTAAAGCTCAGCAAAGCTTTTAACTCAAAATAAAAATAATTAATTAAAAAAAAAAAAAAAGGTAAGTGCATCCTTCACAGGAGAGGGTACATAAACCCAAATGTTGAAACTGGCTATATGGGGGCACTGGAGTCTGTCCATGCATATCCACTTGCAAGGTCCAGACAGGGCAAGAACACAGATGCTTCAAGGGAGCAGCTCTTTTTCTGCACAGCTGACTCAACAGCCATCCTCCCTACACACCCTATGCTCCCAGCAGGCTTTCTACAAAGCACTGCACTATCAGGGCACATTCTTTAATATTATTTAAAATGGCAAACTACATCCTGAAATCCCTTCCCAGGGTCTGATCTTCCTTACACAGGGCCAAGTGTCCAACTGTCACATTCAAAATAGGTAGATTTAAAATACAGAGGAACAGATACAGGGGAAGATGCCCAGAGGTGAAAGAGGAGGAGAGGACTCACTCCTGGAGCACAGCTTGTATGCAGGAGCGGGAAGCCTCAGAAGCGGCTTGATACCAGGCAGAATGGAAAGGAGACCTGGGCTTAGGGTTGTGGGCCGACAGAGTGGAAGGACAGCTGGAAGAGATTCACTGGGAAAGGGTCTTCCTTTACACTGACATTTTGGAACTTTCCTGGAACCCTGCAGACTGGCCAGCAAGTAGGTAAGGCAGAGGAACAGAAGTTGAAGTTATCTGCCCGAGATGATAAAAATACCCCAGCAGCAATAAGAAGGGAACCCAGGTGTGCAGCATCCCAGCATACAGAGTCTTGTGATGACACACAGCCTGCGAGACCATACAGCTTCAAATTTCTTTTTCCATGTGCCAGACTCAGCTTTCCCTAGGACTTCCACAGCCATTATGCTTAAGAATGTGATCAGTCCCAAGAAAGGGGTTAAAGAGCTGATCTTGTAATATCTTTAAAGCCAAAGGCTGAGTTGCAAGCCTAAACTGTTTCTTAATCCCAACAATATCCTTAAGTAACTTGCAAAGTAAAAGCAATGATTCCATCACCACAAGCTCTAATGCAAAATAAATAAATAAAAAAGTAATTCATACTATGACAGAATACAAAAAATTTATACCCACAAGTAATTCAAGTCTTAATCTGATACATTTATTAATGCTGAACTGTAAATGCCTCTAAAAAACAAAACAAAACCAAACCCTATTTCAAAGGGACTATTTACAGAGTGCTGCACTTCACAAGGCAGAGGAAGAAAGAATTAGGCCCTCAGTGACTACCGTTCTTAGAAACATACTGGAACCAGTTCAGATTTTCTCCTAAATTTTCTAAAAGACAGAAGACCTGCCTAAATCTCAGTGCAAGAAAGAGAGCTCAAGTTCATCTGCCATTATAATTGAAAATAGTCTGTTTCTAGGATTTTAAATTTTGGAAGGATGAGGGGGTGCGGAGCTCAATAATGCATTCCAGTACCAAACTTCATGAGCTGTAACTGCCAAATGAATAGATTTATTTTTAAGAAATATGTTTAAATCTGTTACTATCAAAGTAGCTTCTCCCATTAGTCAGCAGCCCCCCCAAAACGAGATTTGATACATTAATTGTCTGACATTGTTCGAAGTATATATTTACTAAACAGAAAAGGTTTAGGAGTTTTAGAGGAGATTTTTTTTTTTTCCAAGTATCCATTAATTAAACATTCAAACGACAAATCCTGCAATTATTATTCATGGTAGTATTTAATCATAAGGAACAACCTTATCAAAGCCATCCACAGAGTTGTGGAACACAGGAAGAGTTCCGACAAAGGAATTTCTCTGATCATTCCTTGCACTTCTCTGCCACCAGAAAGCTGTTGAGCTCCCAGGCAGTAACCCCCCAGGACATTCCTGACCATGAGAGAGCCAGTGCCATGTAAATGTGTCAAAGTCCAGGGCCAGATTCCAGTTCCCTGGTTACAACCACTTTCGGGATTTCTGCTCAGCGGGAAAGGCAGCTCCAGAGCTTGATGAGATACAGAAGCCTCAGAAGAGAGATGCCCTGGGAAAAGGTGGGGTTCCTGTTGGCCCGCTCTGACTTTCTTTCCATCTTGCCAGTTCCCGCCAGTTTTCCTCACAGGTCACACATAGGAGTCTCCACAACAATGGTACCCTGAAGTTTCTCAACAGCCAAGCCAGTGTAAGAAACTCCCACCTCTGATCCTGGCCGCTTGCTCCCCTCCATGCTGCAGTCTGCCATCTCCTAATTAGCAACACCACCACTGCTTGCGCCTGGTTTAATACCACAGAAGCTGGGCTTACAATGTAGTAAAGAACTATTTTTTAAACACACTCCCATCTTTCAGGATGTTAGCATGGTGTCCAGAGACACCTCCACAAAGAACAAGCTCTCAAACTAGTATTTATTTTCCTTATAAGATATTAAGTATTTATCAAAAGGACTTCTAAAAATGGCACCAAACACTTTATTCCTTAAGCACTGATCTTTCACTGCTGCAAGTCTGAATTTTGGATATTCCAGGAGTATAAAGCGAGGCCAATAATACAAGAGTACACTATAGTTCACTTTAAGGGCTCAATTTCATTCAAATTCAAGTCACTGTAATCTTGCCTTCTGCTTCAGCCAGAAAAAGACTAAACCCTGACAACCTTTGAGATCCAACCGAAGAACTGTGCAAGGTGCCCCGACTCCTAAAGCTAATGGAAAATGACAGCAGGCAAAGACTTTCAGCATCTTCTTAAAACAATGATCTCCCTAAGGGACAGCTAACTTTCTTTACTAGGATAAGAAATGAGCCCCCAATATGTTTATATATGGATTTATACAGAGATACATGTACAGACAGACATCTTTCATTCTCAAATCATTGCTCCAGAGCTCACTAGATCAAGACCATAAAAGGTACACCAGTTACCTGCTAGACAGTTATGTCTCAAAATATCTGTAAGTGGTTTAAAAAAGGACCAGATCACATTTTATTTGGTGGGAGATTTTAAAAAAAAAACAACCAAACAGTTATTCACATTTCATTTAGGAGGAAGTTTTAAAACCTGTATCTAGTACATCCAGAAAAGGTCAAAACTAACAGCTATCATTTTAATTATATAATTACGATTTAGTTTTAAAGGCACAGGCTGGGGAAGACAGTAAAATATTTGTGGGCCTCAGCTATTCAAACAAATTGTAACCAGAAACACTATATTTGCAGACATTCCCCTCTTTTCTAGCATCTGAAAAACGAAAGCCTACGGAAAAGCAGCTCAGTACCAGAATGAGCCAAGAACAATGACAACCTGCACAAGTACACATTTCCACATTACTACCCCAGAGCCTGATCCCTGTAAAATTAACCTTCAGACCAATTCTGGCTGTGCACAGAAGAAAGTTTCAGGCCGCTGAACTGATTATTTCTTCTGCACAAGCAACAAATCAGTTCGGAGGTAAAGCTACCAAGCAGCTTACATCAAATAATTGTTTTAAGAAGAAATACAATGCAATTAAGGTTAGCCTGGCATTTAGTTTGCTTTCTTAAAATAGAAACTCTCTGCATTTTAAAAGCACTGAACTGTAAGAAGCCTGCCTCACTTGCCTCAGAGATCTCTCTCTGTGAGCAGCTAAAACCAGAACTGTAGATGGACACAGGGGGACCTCTTCTAACAAATAAGACATAAATTATTCCTATGGCCAAGACATCCCTTCGGTAAACAGAGATCATTTGTATAAACTAAGGCAGTGGCATTGAAAGATTGGGGGGGTGGAGGTGGGGGTGGAAATCAAGAGGCACAGCAAGGTAATACAAAAGGCCTGGTGTCAATGTGTCACTCATAATCAAAGCAAACGTTTCTTTAACAAGAATTAAAGTGACAGATTTTCAATAAAACCATTTTAATAAACAGTTGTAAATACAACAACAGAAAGCTGAAAGTATTTACATGATTGGTTTTCTGTTTGTTTGTTTGATGCCACTGTATCTCAGAAGAGACTGACAGCTTTACTAGATTTGGGAAACAAGTATTAAAAACAAAATCAAGACAAACCAAAACATAATCAATTCATGAATACCATATGGTAAACCAACTACCATTTATAGCACTTTTTCAACCTGTCTTTCAGGTAATCAATTACTGAGCGCTTCTTTTTCCTCTTTTAAGCCCAGGAACTTTAGCCAAGCGGAGTGGGTCTGCCAGATGCCAGCAGCACAACAGCTGGTAGAAGTGTTCCCGCAGCTCCTGTTTCTAAAAATGCTCAATTTGGTTCACGACATCCCACGACAGCAATATAACTAAAGTAAATTCTTCCTAAACTGAGCAAATCTGTTGGCGAAATGCATTGAAGAATTTTGGAACAATTTGCAAAGCTAATATAAAAATAGTTATTTCTAAAGTAGGCTTTCCTTTGCAAGTCAGTGCTGGCTTCACCGGGAATTCCATTTTCTATACTTTACATAAAGCTATATCAGAAGCACGAGGAACTAAATGAAGAAGCGGGTTAAACTAAGAAATTTTCCCTGAAATAAAAATAAGTTGTGAGGTCACAGCCAGAGACATCTACCTCAAAACAAACACAGAAATAACCCTGCAGACAGGCAGGGCCACCCGCGCACGCAGCTGACGAGCGTAATTAACTTTCCCACCGCGCCGCAGGGGACTCGACAAGCCCGTCCTCCCACCGCGGGGCCGAGGGACCGGCCCAAAGCCCACAGGGGAAAAAAAAAAAAAAAAAAGAA